TTGGTGCATCAACCTCACCATATTTGGTCAAGGAAGCTGGGGGCACATAATTCAGCCTCATCCATCCACTCCCTCCTTTTCCATGATCAAGGGAAAATCTGAAAAAAGCTACAAACCATGTTCAAGTGAACACACTCAAAAGACTTCCATAGCATAATATTGCCACAATAATTTTATCTACCTTATCAGGGTTTCTAATAGCATGAATCCTGTAATTGAATTCAGCTAAATTCAGTTATAGATCCTTTTCAGATGGTCCATCTCAATATAGGGAGGAAGTGGAGGAAGGAGAGCTGGAATATCTCTTGATCTCTCTGTGCATGTACAGCAATGAACACTTGAGTAGGGCTGCCATATATGTGAGTTCTCCCATCTTCCAGTTTTTCAGAAAGTGGTGCAGAATGCATGGCCAACCAGATGTGCTGGACCATAACTCCCATCATCTGTGACTACTGACAATACTGGTTAAAAATGATAAAGTTGTTGTTGAACATCATCTGGAACACTACATGCTTTCCAGCTTTGGTCTAAGATGAGGACAAGATGATGTTGGGAAAAGAGACCCATTGGAAGCTTTCTTAAGAAAACACATTAGCACAGTGTGTGGTTCACCAGGCAGACTATTAGTACTGTCTACTGTCAGTTTAGTGATTGTTTGTTAGGGCACAGGGTGGGGAACCTTTAGCCCTCCAGATGTTTCAAGATTTCGGTTCCTATAAGCCCCAACTAGTATATTCAATGGTAAGGGATTATGGAAGTTCGGATCAAAAGCATATGCAGGACTCATCTTTCCCCACCTCTTTGTTGAGGAACAGGGAACTTATTTCTTCCCTTCCAATGCCAAAAGGAAAGTCTGAGCTAATAATGCCAGTCAGGGGAGCTTTGACTCCAAGAATCTTAAAAAGACAAGAATTTTGCAGAAATCTTCAAGGACCTTGCACTCTCTACCATTCTGAGGGGTTTGATAGATTTCTCTAGTTATTTCTGGCATGGGTCTGGAATCTATCAGAAAGAAAAATCTGCCAAACATAGTGGAATTCAGCACTTTACTGAATCAAAACTCAAAGATGCTCCTCAAATATTTAGGTACCCCGTGTCCACCCTTAACACATTCCAAATTTTCCCAAATATGGTGAGGGTGATGCACTCACTGTACATATGCAGTTCCTGGGTACAACTAAGACCACCATCTAGGAACAAATCTACATTAAGAAGAACCCTAGACAACCTGCTCCTTCAGTAGATGCATACCCTTCAATATTTCACAGATGAAAACCAGGATAGATGTGGCTAATCAACATCAAAGTGTGGTCAAGATGGCAAACATTATTAATGAGGAAGAACACACAAGTGAGAAGAGGTGCAGCAGTTTGCTTTTGGCTGAGCCTACTGGGAAGGAGAAGATTATACTTTTCCTATCCTCTTTTCCTATTGAGTTGAGTGCAAACTATTTTTGGACTTAGAACTCATTTTGTTGCAATGGAAAAATGAAAAGTGGGAGGAGGATTAAGAAACAGGAGCATTTTGAAAGCAGCTGGGAAAAGTGAACAACTGAAGATTGATCAGGACTGTCCCTGCTAAATCAGACAGTTGGAGGGTATGTAGATACACTGTTCAGTGCAGAACAGACTATGCATCTAATGGCATTTATAAACACTCAAAGTGCTTCACTTAGAGTACACTGTGTCCCATGCAACAACCAAATAAGGTGCTCAGTGTTATTTCCATGTTAGTTACTGAAAGCATTTCTATCTTGTGTTTAATTTCAATCATCCAGGATAATTTACAGTATCCAATATTATTCTCTCCCTCAATCTCTTTCTCTTACTCAAACACACAGGGTGTAAAAGGCAGTGCAGACTTTCAAAACACACACACAGACACACAGATGCACCCTTGGTTGAAAATTGTTTATTTTTTTAATCTTTTTGATTTAATGCTGTTTTAAGGGGGGGAGGGATTGTTTTGGATATTGTGTATTTTTAATTGTTGTAAGCCGCCCTGATCGGGTTCCCAAAGGGCGGGATAGAGATAAATTTTATTATTATTATTATTATTATTATTATTATTGTTATTGTTATTATTAAAATCTGGAAAAAATACAAAGGTGTTTGCCTGGGGTCTAAAAGATATCAATGTAGGTGAGATGCCACAGCTCATCTGGTGATTTCATGGCAGAGCTGAAATCTAAATTGATGACCAGCTGATTCATACCTCCTTGCCAGCGTGCATCCAGCTTTGTAATGGAGGCAGGAGAAGTTGCAAGGTCAAACTGCTGGGATGTTTTAACAGTGCTGATGGCATCATTTGTCACCACAACCCTTTCCCTGTTTCCCCAGAGCTTAACTGCAGTCCTGAGAGTGGCTGGTTGGGATGATTTTCCTTACCAGAACATATGGTTGTGAGCAGGGGTATCCCAGCAGGACTATTACAGGCCCTCAGATTACAGGGCCAAAACTTGAGATGCAAGGATGACCCCTTGTGATGTTACATGAAGCAAATTCTAGTGACGTTATACATTTGACATTACAAGGAGCAGCCCCTGGTGATTTGCTATGATAAATTAATCATCCGCCATATAGTCACACAGAGTAAATCATTCAAATTTTAAAAGCCAAGTAATGGGTAACTATGTATATACACACATTTTTCAAGGCACCAGTCTCATACTGAGATTCCTCTCTCACACACTGAGAACTGGTGAAAAGGATCTAGTCTCCAAGGAATCCTAATTGTGAGTTACTGCTGGTACTTTGGTTTGAATGGGTAATAATTTACTTTCCTAAAGACCTGCTTCTGCTGAAGAATAAAGCCCCTTGAATTGGTTTAATATAGGTCAACACTGCTGCCTGCACTTTAAGAGTCTCCTCATAGGACGGTCATGTTGAACACTCTCACAATTAAAGTGACCCACTATAAGACTATACAAAACTGGTTCTCTTGTTCTAATTCTCTGCTTACCAAGCAACACAGATGATGATAGTGCACTGTTATTTTTTCAGTGTTATTTTTCAGGCCCATTTTTAAGGATCCTAGTTAAAAATGCTATTTTTCTAGATATCTAAAAAATATTTTCTAAAAATCCATTCAACAGCACTGGTTCTCATGGCACAGCCTAGGCATCAGCCATGAAAGATAAGACAAAGGGAATTTTCTCCACCGATCCATGCTCTTCCTAGACATCTTTAAAGAGACAGTTCAAAGAAAACAATGAAGATGTACATATAAGTCTGTTTTATCTCTTGCTGTCTTCCTGGTCTTCCTCTATTATTGATGAATTTTTGTCAGCAGTCTTTTTGTGATGGGAATTTCCTCTTTATTCACTTAAAGGAAATCAATACTGTTTTAGGAAGTCCAATTTTTTAATTCTCTACTACAGTGGGAGGGGAAGAGGTATTTTTCTCTTTTGTGTCAATACAGATCATGTCATAGGTTTAAAATGTAGTTCACTGCAGCAATATCGATATTTCATTTGCATGCCTTTTGTAGATCTACTCCCCAACTACTGCATTCTGATAGAAATTTCTCAGATTTTTTTTAAATCCCTGAAATGAGAAATTGCAAACCAGAGGCATCAAATAGTGCATTAACCTTGTTTAACCTTGATGGTGTTCCACCATTTACAAGAACACAGTTTACAGTTCTTAGTAACGTATGAAAACCATGGTAGCATATGAAATCCACCCAAGAAATGATAACAAATATCCACCTGAAGTTTCATTAACATTTGCTTACTTCAGAGTTATGTCCCACAACTCTCGCAGCTAGCATAGAGTAGTTCATAATCTTGATACAAGTTTCTGTGTCCTCCCCCATATACACATTTTTAATATAGCCAACAGCAGCTGGACAGATTAAAATAACACATCTATTTGAGTGGTAGAAGTGGTGGTAGTGATGTTCATAAATTGCTTTCTATCCTCTAGAGACCTTAACACAGGAGTAGGCAACCTTTCCCCTTTAAGGGCCGAGGGACTTCAGCTCCCAGAAGCCTCAGCCATGTTGGCCAATAGTCCCATGTTGGCCAATAGCTCCTGGGATTCTGGGAGCTGAAGTCCCTCAGCCCTTAAAGGGGAAAGGTTGCCTGCCCCTGCCTTAAGATGTTCCATAATAGAAAACAACAATATACAACAGTGAAACCAGCATGGAATAAAATTGGAAAGAAAACATTATTTTAAAGACACAAAAACAATATTAAGATCTCTCAAAGCCCAGGTGACATGGTAAATCATCATCATCATCATCATCATCATCATCATCATCATCATCATCTTGCCGAAAAAGGCGTTCAATGAGGTTTTTATTGTCAATCTGTAATTCTAGAGGAATGGCAGCAAAGTGGAGTCTTTTGGAAAGTAGTAATAACACCCCTGATCTGGATGGAGCTGGTACAGAACATATCCTGTCTCATGTAATCATGTATATAGCTGTCATGATGATAGGTTATGCAACAGGATATCTGAGGAAGATGGTAGATTATGAACAAACTCATATGGGGTTCATGTGTAATAGCATTTGCAGATGGTACATATTAGTGAAAAATGAAAAAAGGCACAGTTGCAATCTTGATTATTTTGTTTAACAAGACAGACCCTGAATTTACCATAAATAATCTGCCAGTGCACAGTGCTGGTAAATGTACTCTCTGCCAAAGGCTAATGGAAACCCCGCCTCTGTCAAGTTAAGGTTAAGGAGAGGGGGGAAACCCAGCACATTCATTTGGCTTTAAGGAGACTGAAAATCCAAATTATACTTCCCCCATGGTATCAAAATGACCACTGAAAGATACTTTGCTGTCCTTTAAAAGTACATCTGTGTGTTTGTTGAATACCTCCTTGCTCTTGTTGCTGTGTGTTACAAGTTGTTCCTGACTTATGTTGACCCTAAGGCAAACTTATTAGGGGATGTTCTTGGCAATATTTGCTGGGGGGGGGGGAGAGGCAGATTGCCTTTAAGGCTAACAGAGTTGGATTTGCTGAAGATCACCCAGTGGATTTCCATGGCTAAGCAGGGATTTGAACCCTCATCTCCAGAACCATAGTCCAGTGCTCAAACCATTACACCATGCTGGCTTCTTGCCCTGCCCAATGACAAAATAGGCCCTGTGAGTAGATATTTAATGACTCAGATGAGCAGCAGGTACCTTTGCTTGCTAAGAGTAGGCAAAAAGTCCACTCCCCATTCTTGTCTTGTTCTGATACCCAACTAATATAGGTATCAGTTCCACTAATGTGTATTGCCATAACTATCCACAGGCTCATTGGTCCATGAGATAGCCACAAAAGGAGACTACTTGTACAGTAGTAGGCCTCCTTGTTGCTCTGCTCAAGGATGGAGAGACATTCATCTGTCGGTCAAAAACTTAAATATGTTTTGTACAATACCCATTTTTTAATGTTAATTGAAACTTTGTTCAGGACATTGTTTCTTTGTTTTACAGCCTGGAATGCTTCTGCTGACTGGGGAAGAAACAAACAGATGGCACATTATGACTGGGTTTTACAATGAAGGGGGGGAAATCACCACTCAGTGCTATTGACTACTAAGAGAGCATCTACCACTGCAGAATTTTCTGCAGATTCCTGTCAATTATGTAAAGTCTGCGGTTGTCAGTAAAATAAATGAAGCATGTCTCTGCAGGTGTTTGCACATGTTTAATTGCTAAAGGCCACTGTTGATTACTTTTTTTTTAACACAGAGGCCAACATTTATGCACAAAATAATTGATGATTGACAAAAGGCTTTGCTGGCACCAGAAACTCCCTCGTTAATGGAAGAGGGGTATCGTAAATTTTTAATTATAACCTTTTTTAAAAAATTGACAAAATGTTTGTTTTGATTGGTAGTTGTTAACTTATCTCTATGTAGTCACCATCCAGATTTACACATTTTTCCAGTGTGTCTTGACCTGCCGAATACCATTGTTGTAGAAGTCTGAAGATTGTGCCTTACGAGGATTTTACATTTTAGTCACTTCTGGCACAACCTGTCACAAAAACAAAGGACACAAAGAGCTGATTTTCTCAACACTTAGGAACCAATAATGACACTGACAAAATTTCATCAATATATCATAATAACTTCTTGGTGATAATTATTACTTTACGATACCCCCTCATAAGGTGCAATCTGCAGACATCTACAATATCAGATATTTAGAAGATCAGGAAACACTGGAAAATGTGTAAGTCTGGATGGTGACTACATAGAGATAAGTTAACAACTACAAATCAAAACAAACTTTCTGTCAAAATTTTTAAAGGTGCTAATTAAAACTCTATGATACCCCCTTGTATATGGGGCCTCAGGTATCTGATGAGCCACATCTCAAGTACTATATAGCAAGCAATAGCAAGTACATTTATATACTGCTTATAAGTGCACTTAAGCACTCCCTAAGTGGTTCACAATGTGTAAGCTAATTACCCCCAACAAGCTGGATACTCATTTTAGCGACCTCAGAAGGATGCAAGCCTGAGTTGAGCCTGAGCCTCTGGCTGGTATTGAGCTCACAACCTTGTGGTTTGTGAGTGAGTGGCTGCAGTACAGGCATTTAACCACTGTGCCACCAGGACTCTTTTCCAATCCTAAAAGGAAACTGATTTTCAAAATGTGGAACTTGATATAGCCAAAATGCCCCACACAAGAGGCAGGTACCAGCAAGCCCAGGGGAAACCCTAAAATTTGGGGAAATTTGGGCAAGAAATATATTTAGGAATGAAAATCCTAATGGGGGAAGCCTCAAAACAGTGAAAAGTGGGCATGATTAATGCAATGCTGGAAAAGTTACCTTTTTGGACTATAGCTACTAGAATCCCCCCACAGCTAGCATGATTGTGAGGACTGTGGACTAAAAAATTGAACTCTTCTAAGCATTGAGCTAACTGTTGGAAGGGTAGGAATGGAAAATGGCTGGGTGGGTGGAATGGAATATCCTGGAAATGGGCATAGTTTAGCTAGCTGGTATTCTGGACAGAGGGCAATCCCACCTGTCAGGCTGTATCACTTATTCTAAGGACTTTATCACACATGAAAAATCCCATGCAGAAATGAGATTTAAATAGAAACACACACACCCCGCAAAAGTGGGTAGATTTTCACACAATGACAATTTTAAAGTGTGCTTAATCCAAGTGGAAAGTCGCTTTGACTACTCCCAAAAGTAAAAAGCAGCAGCTTTTGACTACTTTCCATTCAGGTTAAGCACACTTTAAAATTGATGTGTGCAAAAATCTACCACTTTTGCGGGTTTTCCCCACCTTTTAAATACTGTTTCTGTCTGGAATTTCCCCCTGTGTGATAAAGACCTATGAGAGAAATTGCTCCATTCTTCAATGTGCAGCTGCACTGGAACAGATAAAACAAATGTATCCAATTAAATGCAAGAGAGAGTTCTACTGGCATATTTCTTGAATTTTATGTTTCCCAAGTAGGTGGGTGTGGAAACCGGATGTATATGAGCTAATGCATAGCTTAAAGATCAGGATACGCATTTGACCTTCTCCATATGTGTTTCCTTAAAGATTATCATTGCAGAGTGCTGACTTTACTTCAGGTCCAATTTATATTGTACATTGTGCATAAATAATGATACAGGCACATCCAATAATTTGTTCAACTGAATGACACTACATATGGATCTCATCTCTTTCTTTCTTACACTGGAAATCCTAAGGACAACTTCATGTAAACTATATTTAAAACAGGGTGACAAAATGGTGGCTATGCGATGACCTAGATCCACCTAAGCCCAGCCCCATTTTTTAACTGTCAAAGACCTCCCATAAAATGCCTCCAAATGCAACCTTACAGCCTCATCGCACCAGGCAGATAACTTGCATTTGCATCAGGATAGTAGTGCCTTTGGTTTGTGCTTATTGCATGACATCAACACCTTTCTGTTCTCCTCCCATGGGAGACTGTTTTAAAAATGTCTATTTTTATGAACAGAATTTTTTTTTAATAATCTCCTTTCCCGCTTCTGTAGTACTATGATTAGCTGTGCAAAAGATTAGTTGCACTTTTATGCCAACTTCAGGTGGTCAGTGAGCATGCTTTGGGAGGGGAAATACAATGGTTGGGGAGAAGAAACCCCATTGCTTCCTTTTTCCAGCCCCATTCTGTCGCTACAATGCTATTACAGCATGGTGTGTTACTAGCCCCCTCATTCTCTCTTTCTCTTTCACACACACACACACACACAAACACACCTGAAAATATAAGAGGAAAATCCAAGAGTCTTACAGTTTAATAAAAGAACTCTCTATTGATAAAGCCCTTAGTAGTTGCTGGGAGACCAAGAGTGTCACATAGCCTCCTCTATGTGTCACAAGATCTACCCTGCCATCCACCCACCCAGCTAGCCTGCTGCTCTCAGGTACAGAGAAAGATGTCTTCACATGTCCAGCACTGAAGTCTGACACAACCACTAGGCTGATCAATTTTCATATGTAGAATGGGGAGAGGAGCCATCTTATCTTCCTCTTCAGCAGCAAAATTCCTATAGTTACCAGCCCTAAACATCTGCCTACGTTACTTAACCCTTTTGTTTGTAATCCAGGGCAAGACTACACTGATATCAGGCTAACTTATTCCCTGGTGGTACACATGTCCCTGTCTCAAAGCAGACATCTAAAATATTGCCCTGAAGCCCTGATGTTGAAAGGGCTGTTTCGCAGTAAAATAATCAAAATGCTCATGAGGCTAATGAGTGCAGACGAGGGAAGGGAAAGAGATCTCAACATGATTCAGGTATACCACAGATAACATTAAGTTCTTTCCAACTTATGGTGACCTTAAGATGAACTTATTGTGGGGGCTTCTTGGCAAGATTTGTTCAGTGGGGGCTTGCCATTGCCTTCTTCTGAGACTGAGAGAGTGTGACTTGCCCAAAATCATTCAGCAGGTTTCCTTGGCCAAGCAGAGATTCAAAACCTGGTTTCCCAGAGTCATGTCAAACACTCAAACTACTACAACACTTTGGCTCTGACAGAAAATATATACACATAGGCACACAGAGAGAGTCTACTTAATAAATATGGAATAAAAGTATATCACCCAGTCTTTCCTCATGGAAAAGATATATGAAATAGCACCCTGCCTCAAGTGTTGGTAAATGACAGTGTATCCTAGACAAGCAAAATCTGACCCGTGGGGGATGTTGCATTTAAATGGAGGAGTGATGACGGCTAAAGAGCCAGGAACAGAGGGGCCATTTTGCCATTTAGCTGAAAAACCTTGTGTTTCTCTGCACAAGGTTTTAGTGTTATCATATGGTTGTTAACTATTTCGTAAAGATAAAAGGAGGAATGAACACTATTAGAACTCTTCATTCTTTCCGAAAAGGAAACTATTATATTCATTTCTCCAGGGTTAGGAAGTCATGAATACATCTGCAGCAATTTGACCTTTCAAATTACTATTTCAAATTCTTTTAATGAAGGACTGGGCCACATTGCTTGCAGGCCTCTGGGACATTTGCAGGTGAGCCCACAGGCTTTTGTTAGAAACCTGAAACTCTTGAGCTTCCCTCCTCCTTTCCCGCCACTCCACCTCTTTTTATTCTTTTTCTATTCTGAAAGGAGGATATTTTAGCTCTCATTGCACTGCAAAGGCAACCAATGTCATGGCAGGGAGTTTGCAGTTCGTTAAAAAGCTACATGGCAAATCTAGCCCCAAATGGGCCATTTTCAAGCCCCATATTTCATTAGTCTTTCTTAACACCTTTATAGGACTGATTCATCATTTGGAATATCTAGAGGCAGCTGACCCAGGGCTATTTATCACTTTCGTGTGACACAAAGAGCCCATTTGTTGGTGGGGGGGTAGACCCTAATAATAGCCTGTCTAAAAAACTCTCCCTTCTTCACCAGCTTTTGCTGAGGAAGGAGAATGAAAGGGAAATGGGAAAAGATGTTATGACCTTAGCATTGCACATGTCTACTTATTGTACTTTATTCGCTTATAATTTATTATTGTTGCTTGATTTTATTATTTTATTGTTTGTATTTTGCACATTGTATTCATTTTATTGTGTAATCCCACCTCAATCCGTAGGGAGAGGCGGGAAATA